TCTTGAAATGCCACGTGTACTCTGACAAAGGGACGGACGCAATCAATGGCATTTTGACTTTTCCCCCAAACTATCAACTCACCACAACGTCCACTCTGCTTTAAACTAATTACCAGAATGACCCATACTACAGTTTCAATGTACACCCAAAGCGACACGTCACTATACTCACATTCTGATTATATTACCTGGTCTAAATGTCACCTACACATCAATTACCGTTACCAATTGTGTCCACATCTGTTTGCCAGTTTAACCTGTGATTGGATATTCAGTAAACACAGAGCGCGCGATCGTATTGTATTATGCCGCTGACTCAGACATTTGGTTGACTTTGTTGAACGTTTTGAGGTAGAATGAACGTCTATATGTGTTATCTTACGTTCTGATATAGAATACAGACTGGTCTCACTGGGAACCCCTTGATATATTGACGTAGAGTGAGTGAGTGAGTTAAGTTTTACGCCGCACTCAGCAATATTCAGTGAGTGAGTGAGTGAGTTTAGTTTTACGCCGCACTCAGCAATATTCCAGCTATGTGGCGGCGGTCTGTAAATAATCGAGTCTGGACCAGACAATCCAGTAATCAACAGCATGAGCATCGATCTGCGCACTTGGGAACCGATGACATGTGTCAACCAAGTCAGCGAGCCTGACCACCCGATCCCGTTTGTCGCCTCTTACGACAAGCATGGGTTACTGAAGATCAATATTCTAACCCGGACCTTCACGGGTACTTGACGTGAAAGGAAAATTGACTATTGGAAGTTGAAGTCTTCCATCTTATCTTGCAGCCTCTGAATCTTTATTCATCACATGATGAGAAGAGTCAAATAAAGCAAGTTTATGATTATGATTGTTGTTTATTTTTCACGCCGATTTCAGCTATATTCCAGCTATATGGCGGCGGTCTGGACCAGACAATCCAGTGATCAACAGCATGAGCATCGATCTAGGCAATTGGGATATGATGACATGTGTCAACCAAGACAGCGAGTCTGACACCCGATTCTGGGTTACTGAAGATCAATTCTATCCCGGATCTTCGCGGATATATTTTGATTGTGTAAATCTAAGTTCCTATTTATGGAACGATATAGCACACAATCAGCTGTAATAAAGCGAGTGCGTGCTATGTACTGCAGTGAGATGGTGTTGTAACGTACAATTGTGACATATACTATACATCTTGAACTGACACGTTTCTTCACGTTTTTATCATATTTCCTTTCCCTTTTCCAGCTAAATTCAAATGTACGTAGTCTAGCTACCTGTTATAGGTGCATTTTTGCGTTCTTTTTTCAAAAGCAGGAATATTGACACACTGAACCCTTGACAAAAACATTAACGCTTCTCTTCAAACAGGCCAATAAACCTAACCCACTAATCCCGCAGGTTGCACTTCCCCAATTAAAGTCAGACTCCTGGTTTTATAAAATCCCAAATTCTCACGTTCGCGTCAAAGCTGCAAATAATCCCGGAGTATTTTTGACATCAGACTTGGTAATTGGTGACCTCGGATTTAACCTGGGTAGAGGTTACATTGACAGTTGTCGTCAAGAAACTTGCATATTTCATTAGAACCCGCCAACCCATATACAAATACAGAGGATGAACTGTCCTCGTTTTTAGCATGGTTTTGATGAACGAACTGTGTTGATAGTTAGACAAAAAGAACTTCATACAAAGGAGACAGTTTACTTCCGAAGGGAGGCAAAAGAGTCTACTTGTGTTCAATGATAACGTTAGCTACTCTATACACAGCTAATGTTTACCTATGGGTACATTGCTGCAGAGTTCGTGAAGATATGCAGGAGAAAATGTTTGATTCTTTAAGAAAGGTGTGAAACAATAATATATTTAAACTTTCTTCTGGCATATATGTATTCAAGCATTAAGTACTTTTGTGAGATGAGGATGTTGAAGAGGTATAATTTTGGAATATGTAATAGCGAAATTGTCAACACCGACGATAATGATAGCGTTTGTATAGGCGTTTGAAAGATGGTTTCAGCAGTGCTTAAAATCTAAAGTAAGTTTATGATTAAATCATATTTTGTTGTAAAACACGAAATTAGAAACATAAATTATATCGTCGCTTGATTCAAGAGTTGAATCATGTTTCTACTTTGCTTTCAATGTCGTTCCACTGTGTAGAAACTTCACTCTTAAAACTAATTTAAATATTTAAACTAGGGTTTTCGGTGCGACGAACGAACACCATAAGGACCGTGCTACCCATTTTCACGCTAGTGGTATGGATAAAGGTGTACACATTTGATTGAGGAATTACCTACCTGCTAAATCGCAATGCATTGAACTGTTTATAATCTACCCATGAAAAGAACAGAGTTGAGTCCCTTTGGTGTTGCCAGGATCCGAAGATCGTAGAGGTCATTTTTGGGCCCTTTCTCGTGACGTGCTATGGGAGAAATGCTTCGGGGTCTCTAAAAGTAATTATAATTGAAAAAACACGTTAGTGTTTTAAAGGTAACATTTTTTGTATCACACCAAACGGACATTGAATCTGCAACGACAAAACGAGTCATAGGTGTGCACATATGCATGTCGTATGTAATACACAATTGTTTGCAGAATTCGTTCACAAAAATCGTCCCAAAGGCAGGGCGGTGGGGTAGCCTAATGGTTAATGTGTTCGCTCGTCACACCGAAGACCCGGGTTCGATTCCCCACATGGGTACACTATGTGAAGCCCATTTCTGGTGCTCCACGCCGTGATATTTGCTGGAATATATCTTTAAAACGGCGTAAAAAAACTCACTCACCCTAACGGCGGAGTGGCTACACTAGTTTAGACTTGCTGGAACCGCCGTGAAAGTAATAACACAGGTTACATTATGATACATTTGTAGGTATAGCAAACGGTTTACCGGAGGTACGCAATTTGTGTTTCAACAACAAGCTGTTGTGTAAAGTTTTAAGAGGATTGTAAAAACGTCCTACCCAACTTTAAACGTTCACTGCCGGATTACTTACGTGATTTATGGGTGATGTTTATATGTTGTTGCTCATTCGATAGGGTTTTTATTGATTTCAGTTCTGACAAGGTTGATTTAATGATCTTTAGGTGTGTCAGGTAGGCGATATAATGACGTGATATTTTGCACTGTTCAACCCGGTATCTTCGTAGAAGATGTCAGCCTCGTTTACCATGAGATTGTAGGGAGTGAGTGAGTGAGTCAGTTTTGAACAGTGTGCAGCTCATATCACAGTTTATCATGGAGGAAAACTCTCTCTCTAGATACAGTATACACGGACTATACCTAGATACAACATTATACATGGGTTATACCTAGACACAACATTATACACGGGCTATACCTAGATAAAACATTATACACGTGTTATACCTAGATACAACATTATTCACACGTGTTATACCTAGATACATTATATATTGGTTATACCTAGATACTACATCATACACGGGTTATACCTAGATACTACATCATACACGGGTTATACCTAGATACTACATCATACACGGGTTATACCTAGATACAACATTATACACGGGTTATACCTAGATACATTATACACGGGTTATACCTAGATACAACATTGTACACCTGTTTAAAGTTAGATACAATACCACACAGCAGGTTATACCTAACTACAACATTATACACGTACAACTAGTTATACCTAGATACACTATACCTAGGTTATGCCTAGATACAACATCCAGCATATACTGATACAACATTATACACAATGTTACACTTAGATTAACATCATACACAATGTTAAACCTAGATACATCATACATCAGGTTATACCTAGATATAACATTATACACCAGGTTATACCAAAATACATTATACACGGGTTATACCTACATACAACCTAATACATCAGGTTATACCTAGATATAACATCATACACGGGCTTTACCTAGATACAGCATCATACATCAGGTTATACCTAGATACAACATCATACACCGTATTATACCTTGATACAACATCATATACCAGGAAACACCCAGATACAATATTGAAGGATATATTTTACCCAGATACGGACAAATTAAGGAATTGCACTGGGCTTTTCTAGCCTGAGGTCACCAGTGCAGCAAATAGACTTAAATATCTTTATATCTTTGAACGCTACCTGCGACAGATCATAGACCTTCTACATAACTGGATATTCAAAGAATGACTTCTGTCTAAACAAAATACTTCGGCTTCACGCTCGGTATCAGTATTCTGTTCGTGGGAATATTAAGCCAACATCAAACAGACAGCCAATTAGTAAACACGCACCACAGATAAAGACAAACACGACACTTCAAAGTATATAGACCTGCAAGAAATAAGAAAGTGCGTTCGTTGGAGAAAACGAGCAGATTTGCAACAAAACTGTGAGTGTTTGTTGAGGTCTTCAAGTGTTTTTCTTCCTCGTCTTGACACCCTTTAGTGGAGAGAAATACCCTCTTAATTTTCGCCCCACGTCTCAAAGTCGAAATGAGTAAGATAAAGGATCCGCTTTGTCCACCCACCCTGTGTCAACACCGGCAGCAGGTAGGCCGTTTATATCCACGGGCATCGTATTCATTGAACACCGCTTTCCAAGGGGGTGTCTCATGGCTTAGTTTTGTTACAACTTGGGAAGAAGATCGTAGCGTTCTTACATCAATATTATTCCCATCTTCACTTCCTTAATCGCTGTTTAATGTGTAAACATGTGTATTTATGATCCAATTGTTCAGATTCCCTCAAACAAAGACCTTTGGCTTATATATAATCGCTAAAATTTGTCTACCTGTGTTTGACTCGGATAATGTCCAGTTTGTTGACGGCTTTGCGCCTTTCTTTCGAAAGATCCTACCAGAAATGGGATGGCTGATTTTGCCACGTGACGTCACAATTGTCGTGAAACTGTATCCGGCTGCACGAGCTATATAAGACACGGGTTATTCGTCATGGAGTAATGTGTTCAGGACGCGGTAACTTCAACAACGTCTTTCAAATCGGACTGTCACAAAAAACAACACGATCTTGTGCCAAAGGAACATACCCATTGCGACTTACAATTACAAATTTTTTGCAGGCTTTATTTATCAAGAATGACGCAGACGTTGTTGCTGATGCTGTCGCTGGCGGCGATGGCGTGGACGCAGGAACAGTTTACGCCGCTTTGTCAAAGACCATTCCAGTGGATTCGAGACCGGAACGACTGTGCCCGGTACTGGCGGTGTGTGTGGGGACGCCCGGTAGAGATGCCACGATGCCATCCAGGCACCATCCTCTCCGCGAGGCTCAACGTCTGCGTCTTCATCGGCGGCATCTGGGACGACTGCGGCAGAGGTGAGTACAACACCATTGTGTCAGAGGTAGCTTGAAGCTATTGATAATGACTATGATGATGATCAAGTATCAAGTATTTTCAAACACCGCGTCATACCAAAAGACGTTGAAATATGGTACTTGTTGGTCCCTGCCTGGCGCTCGGCATTAATGGGTACAACAAGGACTGGTCGGCTCGGAGTCAGTATAATGTGTCTGAGTGGGGTATTCATGCTTCACTGCGGCATGGTATCTCAGTGGGCTAGCACTATAAAACCAGCTTCAGTCTGGGCTAGTACAAACAGCCGCACATACACATACACACGCATGCACGTCGTGATATGAGCGAAATATTCTCAAGCACGACGTAAAACCCAATTTCACCTCGACTCACCTCGGTATTGCTCGACTTACAGCATGGCTATCTATGAACAAAATCGCACAGTTTGACGTCATCACTGGAATTGAGACATATTCATTGTGACAGATCACGGAACTGAATCAATGCCTTTGGCCGTTGACACAATCCTGAGTTAGGAAACGTTTCGTTAAAATGTTCAGGTGTCTCTGTTTCCAAATAAAACTTATATAGTCATAACTACCAATGCCCTTGGTCATTTGAAACAATCCTGGTTCAGGAAATGTTTGGTTAAATCAAAAAACGTATTCCATCACAGATATAATCAATCCAGGACAATACACTAATATTTACTATATAATCACATGCACTCTGTCTCCCACAGTTTAACCTTAGAAAGACGAAATTCGTTAACTTGCAGCATGACAATAGGCAAATGTACGTAAAACCGACGATACAATCTTGAAACACCGTAAACAATGAGACAGTTAGAATGTGCGCAATCCCTGGTGTCAATGTAGTCTCGCAAATATTGGACCAAACCCACACTCCAGTGTCAACCCTGTCCAAACACGCACCACGTGTCTCAATGTACAATTATATACGGGACAGTTTATTCATTTAATTTCCCGAAATATTTGTCAATTTGACTGGGCTTTTAAATTTGTTTTACTGTTTTATTATTGATTTTACTGTTTAGTGTACAGTTTGCATATTTCTTCAATGTTTTATCGTTTGTTTTTACTAATTCTGTTACCATTTGTTTTACTATATTTTATCGTTGGTTTTACTAATTTTGTTACCATTTGTTTTATTATAATTTATCGTTGGTTTTACTGTTTAGTTTACCATTTGTTTGATAATTTCTTCCAGTATATTAACACTGTTAGACGTACAAAAGAAAGTAGTATTAAATTTACCATCAGGTTTGGTGTTTATCTGATGTTTTACTGTTTCTTTCACCATTTTGTATACTATGTAGACATGTAAAAGGAACGGATATATTGAACAGCCCGTGTCATGTGTAAACAGAAAAATACAGGAAACCTGAACACCACAGAGTTATGTTATGGCTTATAGAGCTCCAGATAAGATTTAGCTCATGTGGGTACTGTACCCACTGTATTTGTTTGGAGTGGGTATTATGAATTTTGAGTGGGTTTTTCATTTTCCGTTACCCACCGCTTTCAAATATGTGCGTATTTCACATATTTCACGTATTTCACTCATTTTACTCACGTAAGTATTATGTCATTGAGTAAGTTTACTAAGCAGGTATGTTCTGCCTTATGTCATACCTAATCAAAACCAACTTAAATATAATGGAAATGATTTCATAAAAAAATCACTCATCCTATACTGACAGTACAACACTAGTCCGATACTAACAGTACAACTTGATAGCAATCGATGTCTTTTTCATTACGCAAGCAATTTTTATAAATATATTCTTTACGCATTTGTTTAAACTTTTTTGCGTATCTAACATTTTAAATGCGTAATTGGTATGCAACAATTATTTTTCAATGCGTAATTGGAAATTTTCTATGCGTATTTTACCCGGATACGCAGCTTATCTGGTCGTCTGCCGGCTTAGTTTGTTAATTGGAGGCAACTGAATTCGACAGCAGCAGTAAACAGTATTCCACGATGTCTGTGTTCTCTTACTTGTTTCCAACAAAATACAAAGTGAAACCGTTTAACTCGAAGTCTTAGAAACAGATTCTTTCGAAGTGCATTGTTCAGATTAAAACTGTAAAACGATACATCGAGTTAATGAAGTTCGAGATAAAGATGTCTACTTGTAGCTGTAACTCTCGTCACGCCTGTTCATAACGCTACCTCTTGCATCCCAGGTACCCCAACGGGAACGGTCGCCCCACCCCCGCTTACCGTGGAGGACCGATGTGCCCGTGGGGAGACTGTGTTTCCGCACCCAGACCACTGTCAGCTGTACTATAACTGCAGCCAGACATACGAGCATGTCCCCCGATACTTCAAGCAGTATTTGCGGGAGTGCACCTACCCCCAGCTGTTTGACGTGAGGTCGAGCCGCTGCCAAGACTTCCAGGAGGTCGACTGTGGCACTAGGGAAGAGACCATCAATGCTTGTAAGTATATGTTGTCAATACGTATGGAGTGAGTGAGTGAGTGAGATTAGTTTTACGCCGCACTCAGCAATATTCCAGCTATATGGCGGCGGTCTGTAAATAATCGAATCTGGACCAGACATTCCAGTGATCCACAGCATGAGCATCGACCTGCGCAATTGGGATACGATGACATGTGTCAACCAAGTCAGCGAGCCTGACCACCCGATCCCATTAGTCGCCTCATCGACAAGCATAGTCGCCTTTTGTGGCAATCAATACGTATCTATAAGTTGTGAATGATTAGTCTTGATTGATAATTAACAAGTCAAAACCAAGTCAAAGATGTTTTATTGTATCAAAGGCCATCAGCCCATATGCAAGTTTACATAAATACACTGGGTGAGAATATACCGATTGGTAGATACAGTGGAAATGATCAAAAATATCAGTGCTGAGTGCGGCCTCAAACAAAACAAACAAACACAATGTTTGATAAAATGGAACCATTATTTTAATTATGTCACCTGTATTTTGGGTGTTTCAGCTAAATTGCCCATCAAATGAAAGTACACAAAAATGTTTGATGGTAGCTGAAATAAAAGAAGGCAGGGTTTTCGATGATAATGTTTTTAATACCGATAATATTGTTATATTTTAGACCTTCAGTGTGCACTGTTTCGATACTGTTTATATTTTTGGGTAAAAATACCCTACATAACGAATCCGAGGCCCTTATAATATTGTATGGCCAACTGATTGTTATAGTACAGGGCGGTGGGTTAGCCTAGTGGTTAATGCGTTCGCTCGTCACGCCGAAGACCCGGATTCGATTCCCCACATAGGTACGTCTGAAGCCCATTTCTGGTGTCCCCTGCCGTGGTATTGCTGGAATACTGCGGCGTAAACTCACTCACTCACTCATAGTTCAAAGAAGTATCAACTTTCCTGTTTCACAACGGTGGGGTAGCCTAGTGGTTAAAGCCTTCGCTTGTCACGCCGAAGACACGGGTTCGATTCCCCACATGGGTACAATGTGTGAAGCCCATTTCTGGTGTCCCCCGCCGTGATATTGCTGGAATATTGCTAAAAGCAGCGTAAACTAAAAACCTACTCACTCACTCCTCTTTCAGGCGATTACCGTCAAAACTGGTGTCCCGTCTCCCACTGCATCCCCTGCGCTGTCAACCTCCCGCCGTGTCACGGTCGTCCCGACGGACGCAACCCCTTCCCCGGGAGGGAGTGGAGCCCCTGGTACGTGGAGTGCCTCAAGGGACGAACCATCACCACCGCACAGTGCACAAGGGACATTAACTTCCGGGTACCTCAGTTCTTCAGTCTGGAGACAAACAAATGTATAAACTTGTTCCGCATCCCCCGAGAACGTGGGGGTCTCATGCCCTCGTGTGATGGTCTGTTTGACGGGACCTACCCCGTGGAGGAAAAAATACCCGGGGTCTCCTTCATATGCTCTGGGGGTAGGTTACTGAACCTCAGATACTGCCCCGACGGGTCAAGCCAGCGACCAGAGCCCAGAACTTGTGTATACTCGTAGCGAGGACGTCAGGAATACGTTCAGTAAGTATGTCTTAAATTATTTAGTTAATTATTGCATGTTATTTTTCACATTGTGACCTAAACTGAACGTTTATTATTGCATTCCGGGGGATATAGTCGTCGGCTCGTCCGTCCGTAATCATTTCGTTTCTGGAGCATAACTAAAAAAACGTTCAATATTTTTCAACAAGAATTGGTACATATAACAAACAGATCTTGAAGTGTTGCCTTTTGCTATTTGCAGGTTTTTGGCCTTTTATATCTTTCATTTCATGATTTCCTTGGACTAGTCCCAAAAAATCAAGCTGGACTTTAAGTAACTGTCAGAGGATTTGTTCTTTCAAATTTATGGGGGCCAGTGGGATTTGTCATCTTCTGATGACTCTTGTTACATTAAGGGTTACAGCACTAGTATACAAAGGTTAACCAAGAACATGTACAATGAAAGACCGTTACGGCTTCCGCTTACAATATTCCCTGTAGTTGTTCCGTGTTTACAATAAGTTCCATAGTTCTTGTCACAGTTTGCTATCGTATTGCAACAACTAATTGTAACTGCTGATTTTTTAATTTTTAACAACAACAACAACAAAAAAATGTTTTACCAGTTAAAATAAAGTTAAAAGTATAGTCACATCGGCAATATTTCGGCCATATCGTGACTATAACATGTCTTTTATCAATTATTGCAAAGGTAATGAAAATATCCTGGGTTTAGTCATCTCTACACATAACCTAACACACACGTTTTTCCCAAGGCTGATACGGGTTAGTCAATTTGCTCGTAACATCGAAGACCTTGGTTCGGTTCCCAACATGGGCACAATGTGTGAAGCCATTTCTGGTGTCTCCCGCCGTGATATTGCTGGGATGTTGCTAAAAGCGGCGTAAAACTAAACTCACCCTAAACGTTTTCAATGAACGATTTAACCATTAGGACCCCACCGACCCAGATTTCTTTAGAAAGAGACTACTGGCTGGTCTACAAAATAAACAACGAGGAATAACATACATTATTTGAAGAATTGTATTCAGGGTTATCAGCCCTTTAAACCAAATAAAGTAAATTCTTCTGTAGCCGTGACCTTAGGTAATTGCGTAAACAAACGCAGACGTATGCACTAATCACGCGGCCTGTTAGGTGTGACAGGTTCATTTCGAGCTCATCACGCCGAAACAAAGGTAATCTCATTTTAATCACGTTTGGCGACGCTTTACATAAGAATTTCAAACGGGAGAAGATAAAGAGACCTCAAATGAGAAGAATTTCGATTCAAACGAACCACCAATCCTTATAAACGACGTCATTTGACGTGTTCCAACATGGCGGTCGATTTCGTAATGATAGTACCGATTTGCCCCGTGACAGCTAAATCAGGATTTAGTAGACACGGAATGGGCTCACATTGTTACTATAAACATCAGTCTTATATGAAGATTCTACAATAACTGTGACGCTCTATGAACTAGCGGAAGATCGAAATCATCTAAACCAACACGTCCGCGTGTTGTTGATAGGCGGATTACACGTTAAGCCCGTGCACGGCTTCACTAAGCTGGGGCCATTGGCTTCACAGACTGGGGAAAAGAGAGGTTGTTGTTTGAAACTGGGACACAGACAAACATTATATGTGTCGGACGAACGGCTTCACAACTACTTCGCAACTACAAATTGATACTCTCCCAACGCCGACGACGTCACGGAAGACTGTGACTTGAATCTTGGATGACAACATAAAACTGCGTTCTCTTCATTATTTTTTTTACTGCTTTAATGTTTTAAGTCAAAGCTGACATTGGTCGTTAATCCGTGCCAGCTAAGGCTGTAAGCTGTTTGAGGTCTCAGGTACTGTCCTTGATTTAGAACTTGGCCTGTTAATGATGTTTTTTTATTGACCTTAACTGGGTAGGTCTCCTCATGCTGGCAAAACATTTGAAAGAACAAGATTATGTCCAGACACAAGTATGTCTGACCTTCATTCCTTTTAACCAGCAAAACTGGTTGTTTACATTATGGATTTATTTGAACTAACATAATCTAGCTTCACATGGCATTGTCACCGTCAAACAAACACATACTCGTGACACTGACAGAGTTGTACAATCAACTCAGCTTTTAGCAGAGATTTCTTATGGATGTGGAAAGAGTTGTCGTTTCTATTTGAATGAAACGCGCATGTCATCCGATGAATCAATTTTTGTACTTAAACTGTAAAATTTACTTGGGACAATTGAATATTTAATTGTACATAATGCGGACCTTTTATTAATGAACTGATTACTTTTTCGTAGATATAATACAAGACCATAGCGTCGTTGATCGAAAAGAAAATAGGAATACAACTTAAAAATGTTTAAGAATGAATATGCTGTATCTGTATTATGTGTTTCCTGAGTGTTGCCTGCCTTCATGATTTACATTTTATATAATAAGATTATATTACACTCACTCACTCACGTGTTTACTTTCAGGAACCAGGATTGTGATTCCGTCTCCCACCAACCAATGCATAAGAATAACTTCCGTCGTGTTCTCAACAGTCCGTCGTGTTCTCAACAGTCCATCGTGTTTTCATCTGCCCGTCATGTTCTCAGCTGTCCGTCGTCGTCAACGTTGTAATGGTCTTTTCTGCCGTTCCTGATGTACTGAGTCCTGTGAAGTCGTATTTACTTACTGTGATCGTTATCTAAGCTTTCTAAACAGATGCTGATGACCCCATCTTTCTTTTGTGTCAATATCCATGGATTCAGTTTACAGAATGTTTCTAATTTTATTCGTCCACAAAAATACATAGTTGTAAACGAGAGATCAATATTATTGTTTGTGACCAAATACGTCTTTTATGTTGTTGCCGACATTGCGTACTATAGATAGGTGGTAAGAAAGAATTGTTGCGTTTCTTTATTGTTTCAGTATATATTGGATATCGACTGCATTCGCAATGTTAGAGGTAACCAGTTGTTTCGTGTATGTTCATTTACTGTTGCCCTTCTCGTGATAAGTGTTCAAAGATCCGCTTTCATTTTGAGTTTTTAGTTTATGTTCAGTGTGTCTTGTTCAGTGTTCAACAGTCACTGATCTATAAGTGTCCTCAATGTAAGAACAGGCTTCATTTAAATCGCTTGTTCACTTTTGGTTGTTCACATATTCTGTTCAGATATTCTGCTCTCAGCAGTGTTTACTTCAGCGTTAACGTCGGTGTGTAGTGTCTACAATGTCGTGTTCGCAAGGCAGTGTCACGATAAGTGTTCACGTCAGTATCAACAGTAATATATCAACTTCCAGTGCAGTGACAGCATTGGAAGTAGCTGGTAAAGCAGTGTTCTACCCACAATATATTGTTCACAAGTGTTCACTGCCGCGGACATTGTTGTGTTCACGTCACTGTCCACAATACACCGTCCACAGTGTAGTGTTCACGTTAGTGCTAAAAGCAGTGTTCACATTAGTGTCGAAAACGCAGTGTTGTAATAGAGCCCACGTTTCCGTTCGAAATGTAATGTTCACGATTCATGTGTCCTTTTCACTGATCTCTACTTTCAATTTGTATATAGCATGTAAGTACTATGAGCACGATCAATTATATTGTTTACCAGATATCAACGGGGTCAGATGCACACTATCCCTGCTAACTGGACGCTGCAACTCTTTGGTATCAAGTTCAAATGTATTGTTTTACGCCGCACTCAGCAATATTCCAGCTATATGGCGGCGGTCTGTAAATAATCGAGTCTGGACAAGCAATCCAGTGATCAACATCATGAGCATCGATCTACACAAATGGGATACAATGACATGTGTCAACCAAGTCGGTGTGCCTGACCACGCGATCCCGTTTTTCGCCTCTTATGACAAGAATGGGTTCCTGGAGATCAATTCTAACTGGGATCGCAACTCTTTAGAGGGATTGGGGACAATTTATTGAAATATTTCGATTTTAATGTAATATTTTATGCCATCCGAGACCATTCGTGTCATTTCGGGACATGTCGAATGGCGGTTACGGAAAGAGGCGAGGTTTGACGATTTGATTTGATACAGAAAATTGCCCGTCTCCAGTTAATCGGTTGGTTGATTCTGATGAGGATGAAATAGATGTGTACATATTTTGTAGAATATGTTTCGTGTAACATATATGTACATAATGCTTTCAGATTTATTTATTTCAATAAAAACCTCTTTACAATGAATGGATGTTGTTTTAAGTTTACCCAAACATCGACGCAGCTGGACGATGATTTTTTTGCAACATACATGCCCGAGTGAGTGAGTGAATTTGGTTTTACGCCACTTTTAGCAACATTCCAGCAATATCACGGCGGGGGACACCAGAAATGGGCTACACACACTGTACCCATATGGGGATTTCGAACCCGGGGTGACGAGCGAACGAGCAAGCGCACTCACCCACCCAACATTGGACTAGTAGCAGCGAGGAAATTGAAGGACAACATGAGGAAGATGGCGAGAGAGGAAGCAGTTCCTATGCAGGTCATCTACGAGGAGAAGAAGGTTCGTCTTTTGACTAACCAGTTTGATGCCACCCCATAAGAGACTGCTACTATTAATTAGATTAAAACCAGCTACAGGGGAGTGAGTACAGCTAACAGAACAGCCAGGCGAGGGGCTAGAGGTACTACTTAGTGGCTTGTAACAACAGGGGGACGGGGGCTAGAGGGGTGGAGTCCTATAACCAGTGGGCTACCCCACCGGCCCTATAGAGACCGAGAACCTTGAAAACACAAACTCGAAACACCTGAGACTGGGTTCGATTCTTCACATGGTTACAACATGGGGTGCCTATTCTTGGCAATGCTGTATCATTGCTATAATGAGACACTACCAATATTGTGGTATGTCGGGGAATCACAGGCAATGCAACAAACCATCGAGCCTGACCACTCGTCACGACTATATTTTTCCTCAAGCCATATTTGTCTTCTTTCCATCTACACAAAATACATATTGTGTTTGGTGTCATGGACATAATCACAATAACAATAAATTATTATTTGTACCGAAAACAATTCAGAAGGTCAGGACAGACAATAAATAAACTAACTTGTTATTTCTTAATGTTAGAAATGTTCATTTTCACGCACATTGTGTTTATCGTCCTTTGTTAACACAGAGACCATGGAGTTACCATTGTTAACACAAAGTGCACGTGTATTCTCTGCTAACGCACAATGCGTGGACTTGCCTTTGCTAGCGCACAGTTCATCTATATGCTTTAGTTCACACACCGTGCAAGGCCGTCCTTTGTTAACACTCGGTGCAGGGGCGTCCTTTGCTGATACCGAGTGCGTTGATCTTCCAAAGTGCGTGTGCGGTCCTTTGCGACCTTCCTTAACACACAAGTGCGTTGATCTTCCTTTGTTAACATACAGCGAATGGGCGTCCTTTGCTGATACTGAGTGCGTTGATCTTCCAAAGTGCGTGGGCGGTCCTTTGCGACCTTCCTTATCACACAAGTGCGTTGATCTTCCTTTGTTAACATACAGCGAATGGGCGTCCTTTGCTGATACCGAGTGCGTTGATCTTCCAAAGTGCGTGTGCGGTCCTTTGCGACCTTCCTTATCACACAAGTGCGTTGATTTTCCTTTGTTAACATACAGCGAATGGGCGTCCTTTGCTAACGCACAGGTGAACGAACGTTCGGAATATATATTCCAAGTAAGTGTAATATCCCCAGGGTTTTTTGTACAGCAAGATAGTGGCGATAGTACTGCGCAGGAATGTTTTCACTGCAAAAACTATGACATCGTCTATATTTGGCATTTAGCCACAAAAACTGCCTTCAGGCCATCATGAATATAACAGTAAATGGAAATGGGACTCAGGCGAACATGAAGTGAATTTAAATTCATATTGTTTGCTTCCTTGCCATACATATTTTTATAGCTAAGTTCGGTTCTTATATTATCGATCAGTCTTTTATTAACTCGAAATTTATTAACATCTATTATTGAGCAAGAAAAGCTTTCTCTAACAATCACGGCATTATGGGGATGAATTTGACGGTGTTTTTCACTATATTTCATTTATATCACGGATTGTCGACAAAATATGGATTGTGTCGGCAAATGAAGATTGTGCTAGCTCCGTATGGTTTGTGTCCACTGAAATACATGTATGATTGTGTCGACTTAACGTGGATTGTGTCGGCTTAAACCCCATAGTTTCTTTGCGGTGCCGCAGAGTGCGGGTGTCGTACTGTCAACCCAAAAAATCACATTAAGGTAGCATGTGGGATTCGAACCAGTACTCATCGTATCTTGGCACGCCTGAAAGAAACCTCTATTCACGGCGAATAGTAGACATACACAAATGCCTCTTGATTGTGGCGGTATTACGAGATTAATTATAAACGTCAATACTAAAACCGTTGTCTCGAAGTTAAAGCTTGGTCCAACTTTACCCATCATTTTGCTCAGTTATCATTCGAACCACGGATAACTCGAAGTACACACACCGAAAATCGTGTCCATATTAAAGTGAGTGCATTTAGTTTTACGCCGCTTTTAGCAACATTCCAGCAAAATAACGGCCGTGGACACCAGAAATGGGCTTCACACATTGTACCCATGTGGGGAATCGAACCCGCGTGACAAGCGAACGCTTTAACCTTTAGGCTACCCCATCGCCCCTCCATATTAAAGAGTGAGTGAGTGAGTTAATATTTAACGTCACATCGGCAATATCTCAGCCATATCGTGACGAGAACAATCCAGACAATAAAAGGTGAAAACATTTGGAAGATTAAAACCTGCCGACGATGGACAGTAAAAATACTAGAGAATCACAGATATGAATATAAAACTAGCGAGCAAAGCTAAAAAATTACAATTAAAGACGACAATACAGTATAAAACACGGGCTATAGATCGCCAACAACTGAAGGTAGATCACCATACTAGGAACCATGGGGACTTACGTTACTTTTGCTACCTGCATGGATCCTAGCTGGATTTACACCGTCCCTTCAGCCGCTGGCGATTGTAGGAATCCATATTGAAGAGAACATCTTAATTAGGTGATTATATGGGTAATTTAGTATTGCTTTTTACGAGTATAGCTAACAATAAATATATCATACTGAAGAAACACACAAAAGAAAATGGGAAAAGTGTTCGTAGTATTATATTTGCATTTTATTTGTCCATACATGTACGGTTTATTGATTAGATATTTTCAAATGACCTTTGAAAGTTTATCTGCAGACACATTACTTTGTCTCAAGGTTAGAGAGGTCTAGGAAAGGGGGACCCTGACTTCACACTGCCTCGTGGTGGGCGAGAACTCCGTATAAAACAGTCCGTCCGTACCACAAATCTGCAGAGCGGCAGTTCTCTCCCCTTGACAAGTGACGTAATGGGGTGAACCCTCTCTGGTTTTGAAGACGTTCTTGCCGTCGGGAAGACCGACACAGCTGGCGAAGTTGTTGTCTTGGCAGGTGGCGCAAGGAGGGTCGGGGCACGAAAGCTTGTAGTCACCTTTAAAAGAATGAGTATTTCTTCAATAAAGTCCATTAATGCAGGGCCCACCGCTAAATGTGTATTCTCTCTATTAGGAGTGCAGTTGGTCGATTTGCAAGAGGCGACTAACGGGATCGACTAGTCAGGCTCTCTGACCTGGCTCATGCATGTCATTGAATCCCACCCGTGAAGATCCGGGCTAGGATTGATCTTCAGTAACCCATGCTTGTCGTAAGAGGCGACTAACGGGATCAAGTGGTCAGGCTCGCTGACTTGGTTGACACATGTCATCGTATCCCAATTGCGTACATCGATGCTTATGTTGTTGATCGCTGGATGGTCAGGTCGTCGAATATTTACAGACCGCCGCCATATAGCTGGAATACTACTGAGTAAACTCGTAAAACTAAACTCACTCACTTACTCACTCTAGCGTAAATTGCTGATGTCAGTCACTGGATTGTCTGAATCAGACTTAATTATTCATATAGCTAGCATAACTGAAATATTGCACAGCGTTGAACAAGAAACAAACAAATATGATCTTTGAACAAACAAAATACTCGACAAAACAGACCCGAGAAATTAATTCCGTGAAGCAAAGTGAAGAGCAAAAATTTAGTTATACCTCAGGTGTTTCAAATTTCAAATTGTATATCGCAAATGAGAAATGAAATGAATAGCATTTCACCAGAGTTACATGTAAACAAAATCAATTCTAGGCAAAAAATTTGAATTCAACATTTAGATTTTCTTTTAAACATATATCTGTAAAACATCTCTATCCTAATTTAATTACAAGTTACATGCGTGTAAAATAGCAGTATGTTAAACATGACCTTGATATATTTCGCCTTGAGTATATATCGACTGATCTTTTTACAGAATGCCACAATGATTTTACTCCTGCTTCAAGGCGCCACCAGTCTTACTTGAGTAAGATATTTAGACGAAATCAGGTTTCGAATCGTATTTGAGTAAAATATCTGATTCCGACACTGTTCAAGAATGAGTTACTGACATTTTGATTATTTAAAGTAACGTCAGGTAAATTAATTACGTTAAGCAAAAATACAATGTCGAGTGGCAGGTTTACTTTAAAGGTCACATGCAACCAAAAATCAAACATAATTAAAACACAATTATCACTTATTCATGACATATAATATACATTGCTGGTTATGAAAAAACATATAAACAAAATTATAAGCGTACAATCGCAAATCAAAAGTGCAATATTGTGTACCAGCCGGGATACCGAACCCAGTCAGAGCGGGTGGGTGTGCACTCAAGTGTAACGGCTGGTTCATTTGCAGATGCCCTCACGGCTCATTGTGTGTGTATACATGTATATAGAGATGTTGGGTTTTGTAAATACATGCTCATTTTTTTGTGTATAACATTTTGCAATCAACAGACATCATAACATGTCATGTGTTAAAGTATCACACCTGCCTGTCTGTGTAATTACATAATGTGACAGAGACCGAACTCGGGCCATAAATCAATGCATTTTGTTTATGGTGTATAGCCTGATTGGTGTTAAGTTCAAATTGCATGTCGTCAGTGATCGCAGCTGTGTATTGAATATTGTCATTAGCAGACAGGCAGGCAGACACACATGTGTCAATAAAACAAGACATTGAGTTTAGTCTGTGACAACGACATATCCATATCACAGTTGGAAATTCTGTCAACGCTAAATAATGGCATTGCTTTTAAGTATCGAACTGAGAAAGTGACTCGGTAAGAAGAACGTGTGGTGAAATAGACAAATGAAATTATATAAACAGTTAATTTACTGTCATAACATATAAAAAGCTCGCGCCTGTGAGATATCAACAAAACATTAGAAAAATAGCTCACACCAAAGCCTTCACCGAGTATTCACCGGACAACCGCTTCCAAGTTGCGCGAACCTACTTCACTGCGCACGTGCTATAAGCGCAGCCCAGCTGTTGAAACCCGTTTTCCCCAGAAAAGTCGGGGGAAAATTAGTGAAACGTTTGAACTCCGATTTCGCGCGTTTTTTTCGTCGCGATATTTTCAACTTTATAAATTGAATTTGCATTTTTGACAATTTGTTTTGGTAAGTCCATACCGAAGGGTATCAGAATCTGCAAAAATGTGTTTTACAAGTCAGGGATTCTGTGTTAGTCGTCCTCTCACGACAAGACACGGATCTATAAGACTGTTGCCTGCGCCCCCACCCCCACCCCCAATCAAATCTGGACTTGATGATTCAGTGATTAGCATCATTAATATTTATGTACGTATTTGGGATACGATAAAAAGCAACAAAGTCGGGCATTGGCCCTGCTCTACAAAGCGATCTCGGCGCTAAGGTGACCGTTGTCCCCATACGTTGATATAGGCTTACGTTCATCGTAGGTCTAAGACCCGAACCCGAACCCGTTCAAGTTAGTTGCCAACTGGTACACACAGTGATAACTTACCATAACATCATTGCCACAGGCAAATTTGCATATCACGTGACCGGACTTTGGCCTTACGCAAGCTTTTCGGCGCGCTCTTCACAATGTTTTACATTGTTACATATATGTTCTTCCACAACTACGACAGTAAGGTTTATGACAATACATATTTAGATATCAAACTGGCTGCATCGTTTGCTCTCAAGCGAGGCTTCGATGACGTGGAGCCGTACAACTTCGCTACGCAAATGGAAAAATAGTGTTGCATGTTTTAGGATATTTTCTCAGTGAAACTAAACCATTCTATCAAAGATGTTCACTTAGATGTGTGGTGGTGGTGGTTGAATTAGGTTTAACCTCGTGCTTGAGATATTTCTGCTCATAACGACGTGCATGCGTGTGTATGTGTATGTGCGGCTGCTTGGACTGAAGCTGGTTTTAAGCTAGCCCACTGAGATACCATGCCGCAGTGAAGCATGAATACCCCACTCAGACACATATACTCACTCCGAGCCGACCAGTCCTTGTACCCATTAATGCCGAGCGCCAGGCAGGGACCAACAAGTTATTTTAACGTCTTTGGTATGACGCGGTCGGGGATCGAACCCGTGACCTTCCGCACTCCGGGAGGACGCTCTAACCACTACACCACGGAGGCGGTCTACTTAGATGTGTAGACTCGTCAAAAATAAAGGAGTTAAGAAATATTTACATAGGAGAGTGCAACTTAAAGGGCCTGTAAGTCTCGCGAGGCGCTACTTCCGGTGCTAAGCTGGTTCCCGGCTCCTTTTGCGCGCGCCAACATATGCCAGACGGGGCCCAGCATACTTCCGGTACCAGATTTCCGGTGACAAGCGTTTACTCAAGAACCAGTTTTGGTTCCAAATTGTGCGACCGCCAAATATGACTTTACTAGACCGGACCAAGTGTGCAACCATGTGTGGCTGTCACAGCTGTTGACAGTCATAATAGTTGGCAAATTCGGGGATGGTTAGTTCGGAAACGTGTTATTCCTGCAAGGATTATCGGTTCCTTACTGTCAACTGACAACCATGAGATCATTCGCAAAGTATGTTCAACGTTGTTTGTCACCGAAAGTACAAAGGTCTCGCGAAGTGCCGTGACCTACTTACGGGCCTTATTGTGTTAGCGTAAAAACGCGTTTGTTTTGCGCCAGTTTATTAAATCCAAAGTATGTTAATAATAATAAATAATCCCAAAAGAGCGATTAAAAAAGCCAGCTGAACATGGGAAATATTACAGCCACGAATACTTAAACAATGAGTGACAGTGTTTCATGCAGCTTGTGTGAAATATTGGCAACTCACTGAATCCAACACACGCACGCACGCACGCACGCACGCACGCACGCACGCTCGCACGCACATCCATTTAGGATACCAACTCGTAATGAGAAACAAATATCTTCATAACAATTTCATGATTTAACGGTCCGTCATCAGACCTATATAGAGGAAGATGGGGTAGCCTTGTGGTCAATGCGTTCGCTCGTCACGCCGGATCCGACTTGGGTTCGATTCCCCACATGGATACAAGTGTGAAGCCCATTTCTGGTGTCCCCCGCCGTGATGTTGCTGGAGTATTGCTAAAAGCGGCGTAAAACTAAACTCACTCATACATATATACATACTTACACGGCCGCTTTGTCTCTGTCCGCACCCCACAGGACACGGTGGTGTGGGGCTGGCACCGCAGGCTGACGGTGGAGAAGAGGTCGGGGTAGTCGCACTCCTTTAGGTAGGCGGGGTAGACGCTGCTGTCGCCGCCGGTGTATGCAGAGCAGTCGTAGTAGCGGTTACACTTGGTCGGGTGCTCTACCTTCGTAGCACCCATAGCACAGATGTAGCTGATCACCTCTGTGGGTAGAATTGTTTGTTTGTTTGTGTATGTTTGTTAATTCTAACCCGGAACTTCACGGGTACAACATGCATTAAAAACTATTATCATTGCCAGGAAATTTATTGGAAAGTTTAAAGCACATAAATCTTGACTCTGAGTGAGTGAGTGAGTGAGTTAATATTTAATGTCACATCGGCAATATCTCAGCCATATCGTGACGAAAACAATTTACACAAGAAAAAGTGAAAACATTTTGAAGATTAAAACCTGTCGACGATGGACAGTAAAAATATAGAGAATCACAGATTTTAATATAAAACTAGCGAGCAAAGCTAAAACATACATCATAAAACACTGGCTATAGATCGCCAACAACTGAAGGTAGATCACCATACTAGGGACCATGGGGAAATCTTGACTCTGACTGATGTTTAGGGAGATAACACGAGTGACAACTTTCAACCATTCAAGGCTACCTTCAACTCCATCAGGTGAAACGTACAAATTAAATAATACTCCCAAGAGGGATACAATTGGAGAGAGTGATTGAGTAAAAACTGTTTAACGCCGTTATTCGCGGCGAGAATAAGTCTTTTGAGTTACACAATATTAGACATAACATAGTGACATTGAAAATGATTAATATCGCAGTCAGATATCACATTCAAGGGTAAAAGCTGAATGCTGATATAAAATTCTATGTTATATCATACAGTGTGATTTTTCTCAAATGTTCCAAAATGAAGTTGGCAGAAACTGTTGTAAAGCGTTCAGATACGGCAGGCACATTATCATAAAAATGCTTTTTGATCAGTGATCACAGCAAAATCCACACATTCAAACAAAATATGCTTGATTGTTATTTGACTGTGAAGAATTGCACATAGTGAATGAGTATTGTTCTACGCTGCTGCAACAATATATATTATATGGCAAGTTGTTGAATACGATATAATTCTGCTCAGAGTACTGTTTACCCTGCATTCCAGCAATATCAAAGAAGGGATAATACCCATGTGGGGAATCGAACCCGGGATTCCGACGTGACGAGCGAACGTTTACACAACAATCTACCTATTGCCCCGGGTGCATTAAGATACATATTGATCAAGATAAAGCGTATGTTGAACATACGATAATCCCTATCGTGAAATCTCCTGGGCTGTATTTTTGGTTATTTTCTGCAGGGCTGATTTGAAAAAATGATTCTGATGTTATTGCAAGATTACATGTCTCACCTGGGTAGGTTTTACGTGAAACGTGTCATCTGCATATATGGTCTACATTAAACATGTCTCACATGTGTGAGTTCTACATGAATAATTCCGTGGTGTAGTGGTTAGAGCGTCCGCCCGGAGAGCGGAAGGTCGTGGGTTCGATCCCCGACCGCGTCATACCAAAAGACGTTAAAATATGGTACCTGTTGGTCCCTGCCTGGCACTCGGCATTAATGGGTACAACAAGGACTGGTCGGCTCGGAGTCAGTATAATGTGTCTGAGTGGGGTATTCATGCTTCACTGCGGCATGGTATCTCTGTGGGCTAGCACTATGAAACCAGCTTCAGTCTGGGCTAGTACAAGCAGCCGCACATACACATACACACGCATGCACGTCGTCATATGAGCGAAATATTCTCAAGCACGACGTTAAACCCAATTTCACCTCACCTCACCTCTACATGAATAATTGTCTCACGTGAAACATATCTCACCTGGGTGACTTCAGCATGAAACATATCTCACAGGTATAAGGTCGACATTTAACTTGTCTTAATTGGGTAGAAGGTCTGCATAAAACATGTCTCACTTGTATAAAGTCTACATGAAACATATCTCATCTGTATAAGGTCTAGATGAAACATCTCACCAGTAGAAGGTATGCATGAAATATGCCTCACCTGTATAAAGTCAACATGAAACATATCTCATCTGTATAAGGTCTACATGAAACATCTCACCAGAAGAAGGTCTGCATGAAACATGTCTCACCTGTAAAAGATCTACATGGAAACTGTCCCACTTTGGTGAGTTCAGCATGAAACAAATCTCACCTGTATAAGGTCGACATGAAACGTGTCTTAATTGGGTGAGTTCGACATGAAACATATCCCATTTGTAGAAGGTTTGCATAAAACATGTCTCACCTGCATAAAGTCTACAAGAAACATATCTCATCTGTATAAGGTCTACTTAAAACATCTCACCTGTATAAGGTCTGCATAAAACATGTCTCACCTGTATAAAGTGTACATGAAACCTGTTCCACTTTGGTGACTTCAGCAAGAAACATATCTCATCTGTATAAGGTCTACATGAAACATATCTCACCTGTATCAGGCCGACATTTACCGTGTCTTAATTGGGTGAGTTCGACATGAAACATATCCCACTGGTAGAAGGTCTGCATAAAACATGTCTCACCTGTATAAAGTCTACATGAAACATATTTCATCTGTATAAGGTCTACATGAAACATCTCACCTGTATAAGATCTGCATGAAATATATCTCACCTGTATAAGATCTACATGAGACCTGTCCCACTTGGGGAGTTCAGCATGAAACATATCTCACCTGTATAGAGTCCACATGAAACATATCTCACCTGTATAAGGTCGAATTGAAACGTGTCTTCATAGGGTGAGTTCGACATGAAAGATGTCTCACCTGTTTAAGGTCTATATGAAACATATCTCCTCTGTATAAGGTTTACATGAAACATATGTCACCTGTATAAGATCTAGATGAAACCTGTCCCACTTAGGTGAGTTCAGCATGAAACATACTTCACCTGTATGAGGTCGACATGAAACGTGTCTCACCTGAACAAGTTCGACATGAAACGTGTCTTAATTGGCTGAATTCGAACATGAAAGTTGTCTCACCTGTATAATGTCTACATGAAACATGACTCACCGGTATAAAGTCTATATGAAACATGTCTCACCTGTATAAGGTCTACATGACCGTGTGTCCGGGTGAAACACTTGTCTGAGACCGCCTACATCAGGACATGAATGGAATCCAATTGCCCTTCCCTTGTCACACGTGACGTAGAACGCCGTCCCCTCCCTCCCCTGGTGGACATTGTCCCCGTCCTCCAGACCCTGGCAGCTGGGGTAGGACGACGCGCACGGGATACAGTTGGGCCCGGTGCACTTATTCTTGGCGTAGTCACCTGAACACAATCACAAGTGAGTGAGTATGGTTTTACGCTGCTATTAGCAACATTCCAGCAATATCACGGCGGGGACGCACGATATGGACTTTAAACATTTTCCCCGTTTTGGGAATCGAACCCGGGTGTTCAACGAGACGAGCGAACGATATAACTAACCACCATGCTACCCCACCGTAACGAATGCAGTCATGAACAGGCTGACTTTGTGCAGCGGCTGTCCTTCTGTATGATAAGTTAATATGGCTGCATTGTTTGGGTATGAATAACTGGAACCGAATGTATTTGTTTCTTTGTTGTATAATGCTGCATTAAACGATATATCAGTGTGTAAAAAAACTAATCTGGACCAAACAATTCAGTGATTTATCATAAACAAAATCCGGCGTCGGCGGGATGGGATGTCAAGCAAATGTTAGGAGTTGTATAGTTCAAATAAACACTTTTATATCCGCCCGGCCTTAATATAATGAGAGATTTTTTCGGTTCCAAGAAATCACTGTTGTTTACCAACGGAAGGACATTCGCAGGAAAGAACACGAAACCAGATCGCTTTGAGTTCTCTAACTCAGCAAGCACACACGCGCGGGCGAAGCCTACGTGTGCTTTTTTCAATCTTAAATTATTAAGAAAACCTAAATTGAAGGAACCAAACATAAACTTAGAGTCTAAAACACCAGCCTGAAACGGGTATCATTTACACCACCAAACGAAGCCATCAGAGGACATTAAAACTATAAAACACAGGATACGTGACATGTTGTCTTGGGTGACACAGGCCTTGGGCTTAATGTCCACATAGTGTGTCACGTGAGATAACATCACACCTGGAGGCAGACATTGTAATAGAATACATTCTGTATTGCTATCAATGTTACATCTCTGTACTGAGCAAACCAAAGGTCTAACCTTAAACAAAAAAACAAAAAGAAGAGTATCATCTTGTCTCATACATAAACTATGACTCCTGATTGACTTGCGAAGGGTGAAAAGAAATCAGTTGCATGTCTGTTTGGCTTTCAAATAACATTTCATCTTAACGACGCCACATGACGGTGGTTTGTAAATAATCAAGTCTCCACCCACAGGCAAACTGTAGCGCAAATAGGGTTGCGCAACAGAGAGAAAAACGACCAGTCTTCCTGTATGCGAGCGAAGAACGCAAAGGTTGGCAACGTCCTTTCCCCGCTTCGGTTCGAAAAATGCTTTTAATGTCAAAATAAAATATCGCCACCATCAAAGGTAGACACCCATTTCCTCACAGTGTTGTGCTCTCAGATTTCCAATCTCATATTTAACAATTCCCAACGCAAAATATATCTCATTCAACATTTTAAGCGCCACTCGCGGCCAAACTTTGCTCGCTTCGCTCGCATTTAGTAAGACTGGTCATTTTTCTCTGTTGCGCAATCCTATTTGCTACAGTTTGAATGTGCTCCACCTGACAATCTAGTGATCAACAGCATGAGCATCGATCTATGTAACTGACATATGATTACATGTGTCTGTCATGTTTTATGTGTAGTTGTTGAGTCAGGTGATAGACAACATCTTCCAAGGGTCAGTTACACTTTTTATTCCGCCACCACACTCGGGCGCACATGGTCAAGTGCCAAACATATCACTACGCCGTTGCATGCTATGCGGCTACAGAAAATAGTCCCTGCTTATAGCTTTACATAACTAGTCTAATTTGTCATAATGTTACATCCCCTTTCTTTTAAAAGCTAGAAACTGAACTTGTCTTCAGTTGAGCTTATTAGTACCCCACTTTTAAAATACTAAAATCCTTCAGAGTAACTCATTACAATTTCAACTTAAAGAGGTCT